GCTTCGGGAGGAGCAGGAAAAGGTAACAGGCCGCGCGCCCGGCCCGGCCCTGCTCTCCCGCCCGGGGCTGTAGGCAACCCTCCTCCCCCGGGCTTCCTTGGCCCCCAGCCGCGCCGACCCCCTTCCCGCCCTCGGCGGGGCCGCAGCCCCCGGGTCTGGCCCGCGGGTCATTTCGCACCGCGCACCTGGGAGGAGCTAGCCTCCGGGCCTCGGAAGAGAAAGTGTTGGGAGAAACTTTTGTCACGTGCCTCCGTTGTCTTTTGTGAGGAGCCTGTTGACCTTCGCGGGGGGGTGGGAGGGATGGAGAAGAGCGACACGACAGTGTGTTTATAACTTGTGCATTTTTCATACAAAATGCAAAAAAGTGCATTTTTCATACAAACGTGAATGCATGGGTTTTTTTGGGGTGGGGGTACGATGGAAGCGGAAATGTCGTCCCCCCGATGGTTATCTAAACGGTTACAGGTGGGAGGAGGCGGGCGACTGAACGATGTTCTTGGGAAAATAGAATGAAAAGAGAAGATTATAATCTCACAGATTTTTGATGCCTTCCTCGTATATTCTTTGTTACTGTTTATCTCATTATACTTAAAAGTTTGATTCAGTTTGTAGAGATACTGTTGGTGTGCAATTCCGTCTTTGGTTGTTTAGAACTTTTTAAAATAGAAATCTGTCTTATTAAAGTTTTATTTCGATTGCATAATAAATGAGTGTTAAGCTTCCGTTGGAGAGGGAAGGAAGATTTTCATGCCTAGTGGGATGGCATAGGAAAAAGTATACCCTAGCTAAGGAATCATTTGTTAACCCTGAAATTTTTTTCGTGGCCTCGTAGCATTTCAGGTTGACTCTCCCCATTTTCTGTAATGACTTAAAATGATTAATTTGAAGAACAATTTATTTACTTAAAGTGTCTGTGATAGAGGCACAGAAGGTCTATGGAATAAACAGGGTTAGAAAGTTGCTTTGAAACTGTAAACTGGTGGGGAATCCATAGCGTTTTCCAGTTGGACCATGGGTATGTGTGTGAATTTACAGCCATTTGCAAATGTGCTAAACTCAAGTTGGTGAGTGGCTTTTCCTGCAGCTGAAGCATCTTGATTTGCTTGGAAACCACCTGTTAGGATGGACCACTCCTACTTGGTCGAAATTTTGTGAGTGAATTTTCTTTGCTGGGAACCATTTTAATTTAGTACCATAGGCAACTGTTGGCTTTTAACCTGGCTTTTTTTCTTTTTCCAAGAAGCGTTGGGTTTAGAAATCCAATGCTGTGACAGGTTTAAATGATCAGCTATTAATGGATTTTAGTTTCTCCTAAAGAAACAAAAATAAGGAAGGGAAAACAATGACAGGCTTTTATGAAACCAGTTTGTTCACTGTTGGCAAAACTATCAAGTTGTTCTTTTAGGAAATAGGAAACAGACCCTCTGTGGTTGCTCTTTCCATTGCCTTTTCTGTGGTGGAATTACTTCCATCCGGCCGTCATTTCATGCTGTGTGTGTAATGCGGACTTGACATGCTATCTCCTGGAGAAGAGCATTTTTGGTAGAGGGGCAGCAAAAAATGCTGGCATTTGTTTCAAAGATCTGCCTGGTTTTATTCTGATATTAATGTCCCTGAAATACAAAGGATTTTGGTTGCTCTGAACAGCCTCTGGCATCCTGTCCAGTGACGCTGGAAAGTAACTTGCTCAGTTACAGCCCTATGGGAACATGAATAACTACTTTCAGTAGACACTAAGTGTGTTGCAGAATTGCTTTTCTGTGATAGATTAATGTTAATGCGACAGACAAACTATATATCTGTCATGGGTATGTAAAGTGGTTCACAGTTTATGGTTAAAAACCCCTTAGTAATATACTAGGATTATCTTTTAATGGATCTGCCTCAGTGGACCAGAGGCCGATAAGGCCACTGAGTAGGTTGGCTAGCTGGTAGTTTCTTTCATTGTATTTAGTAGTGTAGGAAAACCTGCTTTATTTGGTAATCAATTAAACATCTTTTGTGAGGAATTTTATTTCGCCTTTAAAACTAACTTAATTGTAGGAGTATCATGGGCGGGAGTAATGCAGGATCATGGCCACCCAGGGGCTTGTATTAGTGTAGTGCTTAGGATTGCTCTATGTAAGTTGAATTATGCCTCACTTTGGACTTGCCCTTTCCCTACGTGAGTTCCCTGTGGGAGGATTGTTGTTGGAGCCTTCGAGTGGGTTCTCACCTGTAGTGACCTTATGAGCAACAGAACAAAACGTCAGGTCCTGCACCATCCGTGCAATTATTCTTTAAAAATGAGCCCATAGATACAGCCATGGTGTGAATCCATCTCCTGGAGGGCCTTCTCTTTTGCTGCCCCTCTGCCAAACATAATGTTCTCTCCAGGGTCTCGTCCCTCCTGATAACATGTCCAAAGTATGTGAGATGAAGTCTCGCCTTTCTTACCTCTAAGGAGTACTCTGACCGTACTTTTTCCAAGACAGAGCAGTTTGTCCTTTTAGCAGTCCATTGTACAGTACTTTCAATATTCTTCTCCAGTTCCAATTGCCTCATACGTGTGTGAAAGTTGGACATTGAATAAAGAAGCCCAAAGAAGAATTGATGAATTTGAATTGTGGTTCTGGAGAGAGAATTAAATCTGGGGAAAGATTTAAATGACTTTTTAAAAGTTATCCCAAGGATGGTACATGGTGTGCAGGCTATGGATGTTTAGAGAAGCTAATTCATTACATACAGTGGATACCTTAGGTTTAGGATGTAATTGCTTGAGAAGAACTCCTGGGTAAACTTCTGGGTATGCCAGGAGAAACCAGCCTCTAGCACATCATTACGGGTCTGGTAGGTGCAATTGTACAGCGATAATAAGTAAAGATTGTAGTAAAGTTACAGAGAGCATGAGAGGTAGAAGAGAAATATAGAAATAAATGGAGTCAGGCACATTTCATGGTAGCATGCTCACCTCAGCCCTGCTTGGTGGTCCACGTGGCAGGAGAGAGAATCTTTAATGTCACCAAAGCTTTTATATTCTCTGGGGACATGCAAGCCCCCTAATTACAGGTGAAGACATAAGTGATCGGAAGGGGTTGTACTATAGGTATTACAGTACTGGGAGGGGGTGATCTAGGGGTATCCACACAATAGGAAGAGAAGGGATGGAGGTATACAAGATGGGCAGATCCGAGATACAGGATGGCAGCCTAATTTTGGATGTCGCAGAGCCTGGACCATTATTGGTAGGGTGTGAACTCCTACAAGAACCAAGCTAATGGTCCCAAGTCTTAGGGAGAAGCAATTCATTGTCTCCAGCAGCAGGGAGCAGGCCCACCCCTGTGGTGGGGCAAGACAGCAAGCACTCGCCCTCCAGGGAAGGATGTCTGTAAGCTGACCTCCCCCCACATGGGTATAGTGGTTTAAATGCCCCCTTCAATGGCATTGTCAGGATGCATTGATTGAATATCAACCATATTAACCATATGGTCAGCAGTTTGATACCATTGCTGTTCTTCCAAAGAAAGAAGAGGCTTCTACTGGGTAAAAAGTTATGACCTTGGAAGCCCACTGGGATAGGTCTATCCAGCCCTATAGGGTTGCTATGAGTCAGAATCAACTCCATGTCAGTGAGTTTTGCATTTTTGCTCAGGTGTTGTGAATTGATCTAAGGAGTATAACAAGTTTTACCGCGATTTTGCGTTATTTTTCTTGTTTACCCTCTGTAGCACTGCATAAAAAGGGGGAAAAAAACATTGGTCCCGAGAGAAAAGGACAATCAAGGGATGTGAATGGACCACAGTCCCAATAAATGGCCATTGAAAATGGAGAGAATAAAATATTTAACACTGCTTTCACTAACATCAGGACTGAAACAAGTTCCCAAAGTAGATTACTAGGCCTGCCTTCCAAAGTATCCCTAGGTGGGCTTGAACCTCCAACTTTCTGGTTTGCAGCTAAGCTGGTTTAATGCTAAAATTTTGGCTTTTAAGGAAAAGCTGTAGATAAAAATTAATTTTAAATGAAAATGGATATGTATTTTTATGGCTAAATACTTTGTGGACTTGAGAAAATTGCAGTTGATTGGTTTGAACACCTTTTTAGGTAGGAGTATTTCAAGGTTGGTCCTTGCAATGGCTTATGCTCAGCTAATGTTGGTGGTTCAAATGTGTGCAGCAACCTGAGGCAGAGGGACTTGGCTGTAAAGATCACAAGCCTAGGAAACACACAGGGCAGTTCAGTGCTGCAGCCCATGGGCCTACCAGGAGCTGGAATTGATTTGACACTGTGCATTTTGCTTTGGCTTGGTTTTATTTCTTGACCACTTCTCAGTTGATTTCCTTAAAAAAATTTTTTTTAATGTAATTTTTTTTGACCCCTGTCTGTGTAGCTCACTGCTTGTGGGGGGTCTTATTGGATCAAGGCCCTTGTAGTGGACAAAAGATAAGGAGCAGAGAGACATGCAAAATGTTTTCTTATTTTTTAATTTGTTAGAAAAATGTTAGCTGCTCAGATGTCTCACTAGATTGTGATCTGTTCCATGAAATCTAAGATCTAGGATTGTGTGGAGTATCTTGTTGGTTCCAAAGAGGGTGTCTTATAGTAGGATTGGGCTAAATCTGGTTCTAGCTTCAAATTGCAATATGCTAAAATTTGGGGTTTCTTGACCAGCTGAGTATTTCTAGGATATATTTATTTTTCGTCTTGAGATACAATTGCATCTTAGTAGTGGAGTCATTGATAATTCAATAGAATATGAAAAAATGGTATATCGTATTGCTTTCATAGGTTTATTTGCAGAATGGTAGTAAACCAATCCAAACCTGTTGCTCTTGAGTCAGTTTCCACTCACAATGACCCTGTGGGAGAGAGAACTGTCTTCCTTGGGTTTCTAGTCTTTGCAAGCAGATCCCTAGGTCTTTTCTCTTACTGAGTAACTGGTGGTTTTGAACCACCAAACTTGGGGTTTGCAGTCAAGTGCTTAGCGATTCTGCCACCACAGTGCCTCAAGTTAATACTAAGATTGGAAAATTCATTAGAATAATCTGATTCATTGAGTGGCTCATGCAATTTTCACAAAGAATATTAGAATAACTTGTATTTTCATGTGCACCTGGGGGAATTAAATGCACTAAAAATATTTAAGTTTTTTTCTTGAGGCAGAACTACTAATTTAACTTAATGAAGGATGTTCATATTTCTCATGGTAAGTGAAATTACAGCTAGTTTACGGAACTTCCATATACCTCCCATATAGCAGAGGCAGTTCTTATCTCTGAGCTCAGAATTCAATTTGTGAAATAAATAAATGCTTACTGAGTGCCAGCTGCCTGCTGGACATGATGCAGTGAGTGATGTAGAAACAGTCCCCGTTCTCCTGAAGATTGTTTTCTAGTGGTGAAAGTATGCAGTGAGCGCATTTAAAATGTCAGGTGACTTGTGAGCAAGGTAAGAGGGCTGGGTTGTATACAAAAAGGGCTTTTTCACTTGAACAGTTTGTGTTGCTTCTAGTTGTTGCCCTCACATACTTGTACGTGTGGAGTGTCTTCCATTCTTTACTACATGATACCTGTTTTTCAAAGTGGTTGTACGAGTTTGCATTCTTTTCAGCAGTAGATGAAAGTTCGAGTTATTGCATATCCCTACTAGTACAGGTAGTGTGGTTGCTGTTGGTTCGTAGTTACCCCCCCCCCCCCACATTTGCTAGCCAGATTGGTGGTGAGTAATGAGATTAAATGTCTTTTCAACTACTTGGTGGGTTGTCTGGATTTTTTATTCACTAAGTGACAAAATGCCCACTCATCTCTTTTTATCTGGATGTATTTAATATTTTCATTGTTCCATAGAAATGATTTATTGTATATTTTTAATGTATATTTATTGTATATTTTGGATCAGTTACATATTGTAAATTTCTTACGTTTATGCTTGATATTACACATTGGCATCTTTTGATGAACAGAAGTTCGTAGTTAACAGTGGTTGTTTTTCTATGGTTAGATTTTAATAATCCTGTTTTCAATAAGTCTTTCATATTCTGATGTTCTAAAAATATTTTCTTACACCATCTTTTTAAGCTTTATTGCTTTCTTTTGTACATTTAGACCACACTTTACCTGACATTGATCTTGTGTACAGCACTGGGACTGGGGTAAAGTTTTCTTCTTCACCATATGGGTATCTAGTTACCCCAACACCATTTATTAGAAAGATTGTCCTTTCCCAGTATCACTGTGCACATCTATTTTTTGATTGTCTTCTATTCCATTGGTTTGTTGACTATTCTTGTATAGTATTCTTGTACCAAGGTGTATTTGGTCTTAATTTTCATGTTTTTACCTGTTAGTATAAGATTTGTTGTGGCCTCTTGAGTGCCTTATTTTATTCTTTCCCATCCTTACCCTCTATATTTCTTGCTTTTTGTGTGGGCTAGGTCCGCTAGTGCAGTTTTGGATAGAGGTGGTGAGAGGGTGCATCAAGAGTAAACTTACACATCATGAAGTAGATTTACTCTGTGAATAGTTTGTATTCTCTTTGTACCAGATTAAGGAAATTATATCCTTGGCATGAAGAGATGTTATGAATGAATGTTGAATTTTGGAAAATGTTCTGAGTAATTTTAAGTAATTCATCCAGAAGAATGTTATGTGAACATTAAGATTTTTAATGCTGAAGGTTTTAAACTATTTTAAAGTTGACAATATAAGAATATGTCTGCTTATAGCCAAAAGTTTTCAGAACTCATTATTTGTAATTTATATTTTGTATTAGGATAGTTTTGAAAACTTTTAATTGTGCATCATGCTAGTCATGTATGAGAAAGGAGAATTTTGACAGGAATCTTTGACAGCATCTTAATAAACATAATAATACAGTATCCCTTTTAAGGGAATTTAAACAAAAACATTCCAAACCAGGTGCCAAGGAGTCCCTTCAGACTCTAGGCAGCCCCATGTGTTTCGAGTAGAACTGAGTTTTCGTGGGTTGTTTTCGGAAGTAGATCTCCAGGCTTTTCTTTCAAGATGTCTTTAGGTGGATTGAATCTCTTATCTTTAGGTTGAGGAGCTCTAGTGACACAGTGGGTTGGGATGCTAACTACAGGTCAGCAGTTCAAACCCACCAGTCACTCTGCCATAGAACCACTAGGCTTTCTGCTCCCATAAAGATTTACGGTCTCTGAAACACAAAAGGGCTGTTCTCTTCTGTCTTACAGAGTCTCCATGAATCAGAATCTAGATGGCAGTGTTTTTTAAAAAAATTACCTTTTGAGTTGACTTCTCTCCCTTGAATTTAACCAGCCCGGTGATCCCATAAGCCACTGCTTTTATTGGACCCTGTTCTGTGGATTGCATTGGTAAATCAAGACTCATTACTTGTTACTATTTATTCCATAAAGTCATTAACTTTGATCTTGCTTAAAAGACTGGTAGAAGATCACCTCTTAGAGCTAACTGATTTTTGCAATGCTTTTGACCACTGAGCTGAATGCTTGCTGATTCTAAGATACTTTTCTAAAATTGGAAACGACAAACCTGCTGTTAGGTGCTGCAGAATAGGTTCGGACTCATAGTGAACTTTGACCCTAAGTACGACAGAACAAAATACTGTTCAGTCTTGCCACCAGTCTCATAGTTGTTATATTGGAGGCCACTGTTGGAGCCACTGTGCCACTCCATCTTGTTGAAGGCCTTCTTCATTTTGCTTTTCACTTCCATCCTACTGAACCACGCATGATGTCTTTTTCTTAGGACTGCTTTCTCCTGATAACATGTCCAAAGTACTGAGGTGATTTCTTGGTATCCACGCTTATAAGGAGCACTGTGGCTGTACTCAACCAGACAGATTTGTTTTTTTTGGCAGTCTATGATCCATTAAGATTTTTTTTCTAGCACCATAATTCAAATGGATTGATTCTTTTGTTTCCCTTATTCATTGTTGAATTTTCACATGCGTATGAGGCAATTGAAAAATACTCTGGATTGGGTCAGGCGCACCATAAAAACATCAGTAGCTATTACACCAATGGTCATTTTATGGCCATCTCCACTGCTTCCTAGACTTCAGCTATAGTGTCTTCATTCACTAAGGTTCATGGTCTTCCTCATGCCCTCCTGTGGTTCATCTTCGAGGTATTCTAAGCCTTCCTTAGAATGCTTACTTCATGTTGTACTCCCACAAACCTGTTTCAAAGCGTCAGAGATTTGGGAAGGTGTCCACTTGTGTTTTAAAAATGATTTCTATGTGTCTTCAGCTTTTGCATTCCAGTTGCCAATAATTTTCAGTGCATCTTCACCTTTTATATTCTAATTGCCAATAGTTATCAGTGCATCTTGATTGAATCTTTGATTAAGTTCTGACTGAAGTTGTTGGTAGAATTCTTTTACAGTGAACCCTCGTTTATCGTAGTTAATCGGTTCTAGACCCTACCGTGATAAATGAAATTCCGCGAAGTAGGATTCCTTATTTGTAAATCAAATATTTTCGTAGTTAGAGCATAGAGGACATGAAAAAACACCCTTTAGTCACCATTACACTCATATTACCCAATTCATTAAACGAAAAAGGGAAAATACAGTAAAACATTTTGGACGTTACAATTATCATTTATTATTTATTATATTATTTATGGCATCAAGTGTGTACAGTATGAGCCAATCAGTGGCAGTAATGACAGAGCATGCACTGTTACGCAAAAACCGCGATAGAGTGAAGCCGCGGAAGTCGAAGCGCGAAGTGGCGAGGGTTCACTGTATTTCTTCCTCACTAGCTTTTGTGGTTGGTGTATAAAGTTGAATAACAGTTACGTTGATTGGATTTCCTTAAAGGCGAATAGATCCTATCACAGACAGCATTGTAGTTCATGATGGATTTTGCAATGTCCTCTTTGACAGTGAATGTCACACCATTCCCCTTGACTGTGTTATTCCCAGTGTAGTAAATCATTATGATTTTATGATTCTGAATGGCCAATACCAGTCCATTTCAGCTCACTGTTGACTAGGATATCGATTTTATACATTCCATTTCATTTTTGACAATTTCCAATTTTTTAGATTCATACTTCACACATTCCAAGTTCTGATCTTTAGCAGATTTTTAGTTTTCTCCTTACCTTGATTCGTGCCCCATCAGCAAATGAAAATCCCGAAGACTCCATTCCTACAGGCTTTACCTGACTCACAAGAAACCAGCTCCTCAGTCACAATTTGAGTGCCCTCAGACCCGAGGGGCCCATTTTCCAGCACTGTCTCCAACAGTGTTTTGCTTCCATTCATTAGGCCTTCCATCTCTGATAGTGTTTCGGATCTATGCATAAGGTTTTCGGTAGCTCCTTCTTTGTTGTCTGTTCTTAGTCTGGAAGCTCAGCTGAAACTTATCCACTTTGGGTGACGGAACTGGCATTTGAAATACATGTGACATAGCTTCAAGCGTCACAGCAACTTTATTCATTCTTCATTCCTCCTAGGAAAAACCAGTAGTTGTACTGACAGCTCATAACCTTTTGATGTTCATCAAATTAGACTGTAGAATATTGTCTTTGTGGACTAAGTTGACCTTGGTGTTCATTTGTGCCCCTAGCTTTAGTGACTCTATCAAGATGTTTGATTATGTCTAAGAAGTTTTCATAAATTTGCCTCTATCCACGGATATATTTATAGCAGATCCATAGATAGGAATCCTCTGTCAAACCTATATATATTTGTGGCTATAATCCCATTCTCCTATACCCGTTCAGCCTGCATATGTACTTGCAAGTACATATTGATGTACTTGCAGATCAGCGTTATTGCAGGATTGTGAATATGAGAATATTGTGTTGCTTCTGACTGTGGCATTCCTCCCAATGTGTACTCTTGTCTCCATAATTTTTGGCTGGTCTCATTGTGTATTGCTACCCTCTAGTTAGTAAGGAGTGTTGGTGTTGAAGGATAAACATTGGGCTACTAATCTCAGGATTGGCGGATCAAACCCAATAGCAGTTCCACGTGAAAAAGATGAGGCTGGCTACAGCACTTTGAATCCATCAACCACTCCATGGGAGAAAGATGAGGCTTCCTACTCCCATAGAGATTTATAGTCTGGGAAACCCACAGGGGCAGTTCTCATCTGCCTTGTAGGGGAGTCAGAGCTGACTTGATAGCAGTGAGTTTGGCAGGGAGTCTGCTTCTGTAAAGATTTATGGTCTTGAAAACTCTATTTAGGATCCCGATGAGTTAGAATAGGGAGTCCTGGTGGTATAGTGGGTTATACATTAGTCTGCTAACCACAAATGACTGGCTGCTTTTTTCTAAGGGAAAAGAGACAAAGCTGGTATGCAGTTTCTTCAATGCCAGACACTGCTCTAGCCACTGCAAATGCATAGTGAACAAAAGGTATAATTTCTATTCTCAAGGAGCTTATAGGTTTTTGAGGAAATGTGTAAACAGAAAACGTAATGCAGCATAATTGTTCTTTTGAAATCTTTGTTTTTCATTAGTGTCTTAGCCTGCAGCAAACTACTTTCTGTCTCCATATTTTCATTGAAGTTACTCCAGCTCAATTTTTTATTTTTTCTGGCAAAATACGGTACACATTGTTCTGGCCTTACTTGACCTTTGATCTCTCTGCTTCAATCAAAGCATCAGTTAATCAGCTCTTAAAACTCTGGTTCCCTAAGTTTATCACATGATTTCTTTTGTGGTTCTCATCTCTCATTCCCACTGCCTTCCTAGTCTCTACTTTCTTCATCTGATAGGTAAGCCTTGGTACTTTAAAAAAACACATTTCTGGCCATCATCTCTTAGCACTGTGCCTATGCTTTCTGATATGCTCATATATACCTTCACACAGCTCAGTTTCATTTATTGAAGTTGAATTTATATCTTTGTCCCTAATCTGTATAGTGTACATTCTCCTGATAACCATGGCAACACCTTTGTCAGAATCTTGTTAGTCTGTCCTGGTCTGTACCCTCTATGCCACACGGTGTAATTTGCATAAGTTTTGTCAATTGTAATGACGAGATCTCTATACTCTATCTTAGGGACTACTGGCTTCACTTTTGTTTTTAATTTTTCATTGCGAATTGGCTGAAGGTTTACAGAGTAGGTCATCAATTTTCCATTCAGCAATTCATTACACATTTTGTTTCATCTCAATGCATTGCTATCTCTGCAGTGTGACACACATCCTACTTTCTCCCTGTGTTTCTTGTTTCCATTCCTCCATTTTTCCTAAGTCTTTGTAATTTAGCCTTTGGCAAAATGCTGTCTTTTTGATCTCAGATGTTTGATTATTTTAAGGTTTGCATACATCACTCGTGTAACTGTTGCTCTTGTAGACCTATCTATTATTAGGCTGAAAATTGAGCCATGAAAGTGAGTTCATTTCCTGTCCTGAAGAGTGACTAAGTGTCATAGATGGAGGAGAAGGCGATATTCTACCAGTCTCTGCCTATATTGTTCTACACTTTTCTCCCACTCTGTCTAGGACCTTTTAAGGTGATTCTGTTAAGAGCAGGTGGTAGTGGTAGCTGGGGACCAGCTAGTTTCTCTGGTCTGAGGATTGTGGGGACGATGTTTTGGTGGTCCATTCGTCCATTGGACCATTTGTTTTCATTTATCTTCTGTTTTCATCACTCTCCTTTCCTCTGGACAGAAAAGGACCACGGCATTTAGGCTGCTATTTATAAAACGAGTGACCCTGTGTTAAAAGTAGACCTGCTTCATAGGGTTTTCTTGGCTGTGATCTTCACGGAAGTTGATCACTAGGCCTTTCTTCCTTGGTGTTGCTGGTGGGTTTAAACTGCTGCCCCTTAGGTTAGCAGGTGAGTAATAGTTTGGACCATCTGGAGATGTATTTTGATGAACAAGTATTCTTAGCTGTAATAAGTCTAACTTACCAGTCTCTTTCTTTTGTAGTTAGTGATTTTTATGTCATTTCAAAAAATCTTTGCATATCTCAAAGATGCAGGGAGACATTTTCTTGTTTTCTTTTAGAACCTTGATTTTAGTTCTGCAGTCCACTTGTCATTACTTTTTGTTTATAGCATGAAGTAGGTTGTTAGTGATGCTGAGTCCGTTCCCACTCATTGGGACCCTGTGCACAACAGGATGAAAGCCTGCACACACACACACACACACCCCATGTTCACATTTGCTCCTGTGTTTAGAACCCATTGTTGAAATCACTGTCCTTTCATGTCGTCGAAGTCTTCCACTTTGTATTTCTTCTTCTGGCCCTCTACCAAGTGCTTTACTGAGCATGATATGACGTCCTGCTCCAGAGACTAGTCCTTCCTGATGACACGTGCAGAGTATGTATGATAAAGTCTCATCACCATCCTTGTTTCTAAGGAGCATTCTGGCTGCACTTCTTCTAAACACAGACTTTATGTCCTCTTCCCTTTCCATCTTCAAGGCTGTGTGATCTGCCACTGACCGGTTGTTCATGAGCCTTCCTTCAATCTCAGTGTCTTATTCTTCATATAGTCTAGTTTCTAGGATTTTTTGCTCAGCATATACATTGAATTAATATGGTGAAAGCATACAATCCTGTTACACACCATTTTTGATTTTAAAACACGTAATATCCTCTTGTTATGGTAGAATGACTGCCTGCCTCTTGGTTTATATACAGGTTCCCATTCCTCACAAGGTGTGTATAATTTGTTGTGATCCACACAGTTGAATGTCTGTATAGTCAGTGAAATACAGGTAGACATTTTCCTGCTATTTTCTGCTTTCATCCAGTGTCAGCAGTGATATCCCTGGTTCCACATCTTCTTCGTCTGTCTAAAATTTCTGACAGTTCCCTGTCTGTATTGCTGCAACCATCTTGAATTATCTTCAATAAAATTTTACTTGTGTGATAGTAATGATCTTATTTGATGATTTCTGTATTGTTTTGAATTACCTTTCTTTAGAATGTACATGTGTATGATGATAGAGGAATTAAAGCTTCTTTATTTCCCCATTCATATATTCTAGTTAATTCAGCATTATTTATTGGGGGAAAAACCAAAACCAAAAAACACACAAACCTGTTTTTCTTCCACTGTATTGGATGGTACTTTATCATAAATTTCTACATAAATCTTAATAATTAGCTTATCAATTTTTAAAGAAAGAATGCTGGGGATTTTGATTGGAATTGTATTTCTAAATCAAATTTGGAGAGAATTGACATCTTTGTCATCTCTGAGCATATATCTCTTCATTTATTTAAGTACTTAAAAATTCTCACTATTTAATTGGGGTTTAAGTTTACCACCCGACCATATTTCATTTGTTTATTCTTTTTTTTATATTATTAAAGTATTTTCTAGTTTAAACTCATCTGTTAGCTTTGTAGTTATTGGTTTTCTTTCTGTTGTGATTACTCTGGAGGTTATTTGCCTTCTTTCCTGCCTACAGTCATAAAATGGTGGAAGTTACATTAAGGTTGAGCTCCATGGAGATGGAGGAAAGATGAACCTCATTCTCTAACCTTTTTAACTATTCTGCCACCAGCTGTCTTCCCCTAGCACTCTACTTCTTGCTGCATTTAATAATTTATTGCAGTGGCCATATAGAAACTCACAGGCCACACAAACTTAGTTACTACTTTCAGGTGCTGTTGAATTAGTCCCCACTCATAGTGACCCTACGTACAACTGAAAAATACCAGGTAGTCCTGCGGCATCTTTGTAATTGTTATGATTGAGCACATGGTTGCAGCCACTGTGTTAAGTCGATCTATTTGACAGCCTCCTGCTTTACGTTTCATCTTGCCCTTCATTACCAAGCATGGTACCCTTCCAGGGACTGATCTCTCTGTTTATTTATTTATTTTTTGTAATTTGAATAGGCTTTACTTTTCCTTTGTAATAAGAAAGACAACAGCTTTATTTCCTGTCCTTCGGAATAGCAGGCGGATGGGATTAAGAGAGGAAAGTCATCACTAACTAAGCGCTTCTCTAGCAAAACAGCCAAAGAGAACACCCAGCAGCTCCTGCGCTGAGAGTGTAGCACAGGCCACAGAGCACTGACACTCCCTGAATTTCAGAGATTCGGTAAGAGTTTTTTTTTTTTTTAATCGTTTTATTAGGGGCTCATACAACTCTTATCACAATCCATACATACATCAATTGTGTAAAGCACATTTGAACATTCAT